TTTTTTATATATATAAAAACATCATTTTATTCTGTAAATATTAGTTTTGATTTGATTTGATTTGATTTTTTACCTAAAATAAATTATCTCTATCATGTTATTCCAAACAGATAAAAAAATGTTTTATATATATATTTAAAAAAAATATATTTTTTTTTTTGCAGTCGCAAATGAATAATAAACAGTAAGGAACCGTTACTCAGTTTAGTTTATCAGACTGCTTAGGAACAGTAATAGCTAATTAAGATATGAAATGTATAAAATCATCAATTTATCTGAAAAACCATAAAAGCCAATGTAAAATATTCTGGATGCACCATATACTATGGAAACACATTTCTGCCACATAATAAATCATGTTTTGGTAAATCACAATTATGTCAAAATTATGAGATGAGAAGTCAAAATTTGATGTAAAAAGTCAACATTATGAGATAAAACATGAAATCTAAAACTAAACTAAAATAAAAATTTATGGCAAAAATAAATAGTTGGAAAGTTGACATTTTGAAATAAAAGTTACAATTATGACATACGTAAGTCATAACTTTGTGATTAAAAGTTACAATTATGACAAAGTCAAATTTTCGAGATAAAAAGTTATAATTATTACATACAACGTTTCTACTTTTTATGTCAGAATTCTGATTAGCCAAAGAATGTATTTTCTTGGAAATGGGCTTCCATAACAAACAGCTATAATGATAACATTATGCTCAAACTAAGAAACTTGTTTCTCCAAGAGCTATGATTACTGATTCAAAACCTGAGACAGACAGGTAAATGTAAACATTGTTATTCAGTCATTCATAATAGTAACTGTATTGCCAGACTGTTACATGCACCATAGTAAGGTTATTTTCAATTGCAGAGCTGAAACCCATCCATCTCTAACAGCAGCCTCAGAGACTGTTAATACTGAAATACACAGCAGCACGGATGAGCAAAACAAGTAGCTATTTAAGGCATTTGCTTGAAATGACATCTCTAAATTACAAACAAAGCTTTACAAGATTAACCTGCTGCTGTTATGATAAAAACAAATATATCTCTTCATCATTACAGGTCTGATGTGATTCTGGTCACGTGTTTGCTTTCGATGTTTATGCTGTTACTGATTGTTACACTTGTTGCCATAGTAACCTGGAGGCTGAGAAAAAAGCCGGGTGAGTTTCTCATAAATCAATAAATGGACATAATATATATTTATAAAGGAGATAATAAAGTGACTCGAGAGGCATCCAACTAGCACATTTATAGAAAAATCGAGCCCGGTCTCATGAAAATGCGTATAAATATTACGGCCAAATAAAAACGAAAAATACGCAAAAAATGGACTTTGGCGTGCATATGATACGCATGTGTTCGGCGTGCATTTAACACGCATTTTTCGCGTGCATATGATACGCAATTTGTTGGCG